ACCGCCTTTCTATTTATAGCGAAAGGACAAGATAGGGTAAGAACAGTATTTGGCCCCCGATTTGGGTTGTCTTTTAGAATGATCCAACAATTTATCATTTGAAAACCTGTTTTCACCCCTGCAACAAAATGAGTATTGGTTTTAAGATTTAGGGTATACAGGGGTCACAGTGAGGTCAGGAAATAGGTCTATTTTCGAAATTTCTCATTTTTATGCAAATTTTCACTAATTTTACAGCACATTTTCTTTCGCAAAACATAGAGCACACGCTTGCCTATGCACCAAATTTATATATTTTATATATCAGATGCAGTATATGTGTAAAAATCTCAGATAGGCAAGCGTGTGCTCTATGTTTTCCGAAGAGAAATGTATCCGAAATATGATGAAATTCCACCAGAATTGAGGAAATTCGAGAAAATGTCTTATTTCTGCACCCTCCACTGGCTTCCATGTAGGCTTTGAATCAAAATTAGTGCTTGTCTTAAAGTAAGTATCATTTTAACTTCTTAACTACAAACTATCACAGTTTTACCAGTGTTCTGATTTTTATATCAAATAAGGGGCCAGATTCGGCTGTTACCCTATCTTGTCCTTTCATTTCGATATCTTCATATTCTTCCTTAATAAAAAAAATCATACAGAACAACAATACTGCGGAGTTTAATAATTTCTTTCAGTTAATATTATAGCTGAAAAACATCTAATTTTTGCCTAAAAGGTGCTGCTAGAATTCCACAGTCTTGTCAGTAAAATAATTATTCCACACATTGGCACGAAGCCCTATGTTTTGAAGTTTATACATATGTACCGAGATTCTTAGTAAAACCATGGACTAGGGATTCTAGCAGCACTTTCCACGTTTGTCATAAGGCAAACTTTCCATGCGTACAAATCTTATCTTTTAAAATATCCAGCTTACTGTTGTTATGTTGCTTTATTTTTGTCAGAAATGACAGAGGAAAGGCCAACCGGGATACGTATATAACCGACTTTCTTCGACAGAGAATATTATTGATGAAAATAAATTAGCATTATATTTAATTAACTAAACTCCATATGAATTTCACAAAATATCTCTAATTTTTTCCTTTTAAACTCCATTTCACGTATCTTGATTTATGCCGTCTCAGCCATATTTTTTTTTACACGACAATCAATTCCCAAGTTACTCGATGTACACATAAGACGTCATTGGTGGTAGATTTCAATCAAAATTACAAATACAGCATAGCAAAATAAAAACATATTATTTTTGTTAATTCCTGTGAATATTTCTTTAATACAGAAAATAGTTACAGTATGTAAAAGAAGATTAAGTGTTTGTTAAACACAGACAATGGGAAATGAACGACGTCAAACATTGTATATTTTCTCCTGCCTTTCGACTAAATATCGACTGTAATTTGAATATGCTTGAAAAAAAACGGACAGTAGCAAATCTATATAAGTCCTTTAGTCAAGGGTTGTCTTTAACTAACAACTAATTTGAATGTTAACAGATGCGTGTGAATCAGAAAAAAGCAGGAAGACCTTATAGACGACGCAAATTACGTTTGATTTCCTGCGCCGCTGTACACCTATATTTCTTCCTATTTTTTAAAGATTGTTATTTCAAGTAAAAATGAAGATATGTGTAAACCATCTCGGTAATACTTGGGTTCATTTATTACATCAAGACACAATCAAGTCAATGGTAGTTTGACCAGTAAATTTATTGATGGTAATAAGATAAGAAAAACCTGAAATAAAGTCAATACAATTAATAAACATGTACAAATCCTTATTGACTTTACTTTTAAATTACAAATATAATAAGATATAGATAAGTAATAAATATATTTACCAGGCACACTAGTTAAATCATCTACGAATATTAAAGGTGACTACTCCCTTCAAGGGTGTAGCGCCGAGTGTGCGTGAATATTGTTATCCGCGGGAAAGTTAGTGAAAAGTTATTAATAGAAAGAAACTAGTCAAACCGGAAATGGTCATACCTAACAAACATAAACACTCACACGTGGACATTCACACATGACAACGCAAACGTAAACATACATAATAGACTAATTAAAACATTGAAACAGAAACATTTAATTACTTACACTGGTTACATATGCCCTTTATGCAAATTATTCCATGTCCTACTATTATTGACATAGTCTTCCTATTTAGACAGTGATTCTTTAAGAAACTTGAAACGCATGATCATAAAATGTAATTTTTAGCTTTGAGAATTAAAGAATTTAATTAAGCAAAGAGAAACTAAACTGTTTTCTCTGTCTATGACTTTTTGAAACAACAATCTTATTTAATCATTTTTTTTCTATTCTTATGTCCACATATTCATTTTAAAATAAATTAATAAAGTTGGGATTATTTCTATGTAAATGTTAATAATTCAATTAGTTCATGTGTTTAAAATGTTCTGTTAAACATTTTTCTATTGTCAACTTACCTTACTTATGCAGCAATATACCATGTTATGTAACATTATGATAACGAAAACTTTGACAAAGAATCTAACTGGACAAAGATTATATGTTAAGATTTGGATAAATGAGGGATATGGCGATGAAGAACAGTATTCAATCTCAAAGTTCATAAAACACGGGCCTCCAAAACATCAGAGGTGGGATCAGGTACCATGGAGGAGTAAGCATATCTGTCTGACCGGTCACACTTACCGTGTGCTCCTTGTCATGATCAGGAAAAAATGGAAAAATCGGATGTCGATTCAGTGTATAAATAATGAACTAACAATTAGTATGAAAAACGTCAGTCAGCATTTAACTCTATGATAAATTTTATTTGCCGACTAGGTCATTGTATCGACCATAGCACTTACGAAATGATGATTTTAATGAAAACGACTGATATTCTTGTTTCATCAACTTGTTTGTTAATGATTTACTTCATTTTAGAAATTGTTCGTATGTAGAGCAAGATCTTGCGTATCGAATCAACTGAGATATATACACTCCGTATGAGGGTGATGAAGGTATATTGCTGCATAAGTTATGGAAATTGACGATAGAAAAGTTAAAGTCATCACGTTTATCATATAACTTGGTTGTTAGATTACCATGTACCATGTTCCCATGTCAAGTAAAATATCTAAGTATGAAACAGATGTGTAAGACTGTGATACCTTTTATCTCAAGCTCATCAGGATATATCGAATCGACATAAGAATGGAAATTACCATTGTTAATTGACAATACCTCGTCGATATCTCTAAATGTGGAGTTGAAGGCCAGGCAAGTGTTTTCTTCTTTTCATGCATAAGATTTGCACAAATTCTTCTTCTTCATATGAGTATATAAATAGGTCTGCTAATAACGGAGCAATTAGAACCAATTGGTATTCCAATGGATTGTTGGAATACATGGTCTCCAAAAGCCATATAGATATTGTCAATCAGAAACTCAAGCACCACTTTGATGTCAACTTTAGAATACTTATGTGTGCAATCAGAATGTGTTCTAACAAGTACTTTTGCAAATGACCAATGACGAGGTAAGTACATTTACGAGATCCATTTCTATTTTTTAAAAAAGCAGCTGTCAGTGATATTAAACGAGCCTGGACCTTAATTTATCGTGGGGAATGTCTGTATATAAAGTTGAAAAGTCATAAGTTTTTAAGCTGATGATAATGGTAAGATCTTGCGATTTTAAATCACCCAAACGTTCTTTGGATTTTTTTAGTATCCACATCTGATTCACACCACTTCTTGAATATATAAATCTTAACTGCAAATTTTCTAATGTTGTCTACTGGAGAAAATGTTAACTGTACGGACTTTTTTATGTGGTGAAACCAGGGGATCATTTATTGAAATATAAGGAGATCATGAACAGTATTCAATTTCGAAATCCATATATCAATACAAAATAGAAAAAGAGCAAACACGTACCTCCTTACTATAAGAATGTCAGTAAAAAATGTCAGTTGTCATTTCACATTAGTGGTGGAAGTAAGCAGTTTTTAACAAACATTTTAATTTACCTGATCATTTTTTTTGTCAATAAACGTAAGAAATCTAGAAAAGAATTATTATCACGAAACGATCACTGAGTTCACCTTTCCATAGATAACAAGAAGAATTCTGGATTAGAAAACTAAGAAAGATATTGCTCTATAGATCTAATGACAATGTCGATAGTGTTGGAAATCTTTCCTGTATACAGTGTAACAATTTTACCATACACAGACATCGGTCTAACAAGAAATCTTTAATGCACGATGTTTCCTTTGATTCATTACTAACTTATACAAATCACAAGTGAGATATACATCTTATGTGTACCAAACTTTACTCTGCCCCTTTTAAACTTTTATATAGTCTTCTTGAAAAGGCCAAGGAAACTCCATTTTTATTCCTAGAAGCCAGAATATAGGCTGGGATCTGTGATTAAAAATATCAAAATCCTTCGGAATTATACAGTAAATCTGATGGATAACTAATTTAGATATGCCCCAAGTATAGGGAACGCCCATTCTCCAATTGGCGTCGGATTTTCATAAATACTATGGCTACTGTAGACGATTAAGATAGGGGATGCTCCAGATATGAAAAAAAGACGTTGACACAATGTGCACTACTATTGTTTACAATCCTGACGTGGCGGTTGTTACCTACCGACAGGGGATTCCCATCCATATTTTTAAAGAATCATTTTAATAACTGACATACAGTTAAACTCAGATTGCCAGAGTTGAGGAGGGTATTGGCATTTACAATTAAATTAAAAAGGATACAAAAGAGTCGTACTCAGATGGAATATTTCGTTTAAAACATCGGTCCCTAAATCATATAGAAACATAAAGACAAACATACTATGTTTTTACCCTATTCAATAATATCCCAACAAATACGGAAAGGTAACAAACACCTGTTTCCAAATAAGCAGATAAAACTCAATTTTTTTTCTTTATCAAAACAATATTAAGTATGTTTGAGTATTAAGTTGTGACGAAAAATCTTTGATACGTACAATCTGATGAATATGATCCCCCTCCTCTTTCGTGAAAGCTGATATGAACATTGAACAACACTGCTCTCCTGATGTCAACTTAGACAGATCGTAAGCAATGCCTGTAAAAATTGAATTAAATGTAGAATCACGATTTTCGTTGGGATACAATTTCGTTGATTTGTCATCAAAAATAGTTTTGCTGGTATTTAATTTCGTTGTTTTGAAATTAACACTATTCAATATATAGTCATATAAAATTTCGTGTGGGATTTAATTTCGTTAATAATTGTTAATAATTGTTAACAACGAAATAAACGAAATTTAATCCCCCACGAATATTTGTGCTTTTACAGTCTCTTTACGATCTAAAGAACACGACAGGTTATGTTTGTAATATGCAGGACTGAAATCTTTTGTATTGACAGTGTATATTTGTCCATTCTTATTCCTAATTTCTAATGTAGAATTTTGTAAACCATTTTAATTCAAAACCCTGAAAACATTAAAAAATTGACAGTTAAAGAAACAAGCTACTTGCCATTTCTTTTTATTTTACAGATTGCATACGGTTTTTAAAAGAAAAATCATATGGTCCACTTTGCTCACCTGAGCATCATATCTAGAATAAAGCACGAATCGTTAAAGTATTAAAACGTTAGAATACAAAAGTGAGAGTATGATTTGAGCACACTTGAAATTACATGTAACTTACTTTAATTAGTTATCTTTGCTTGTTTTAAGCATTATGCAATATACATGTTTCATATATATTTCTTTAAAAAACATTGATTCTTCTTTTTTTAACCATCCTGATTTCGGTGCCATGCTTGAACAATGCTTTTAATGCTTCATGATAAATTTAAGATTAATATGACCTTTTGCTTCTCTTGTTACCTCGACCATTATTGCCACACAGTACAATGTACTAACATTGTCAACCTTCAACACCTCTACATGTTTGGACAAATGGTTTTTTGATGTCCTTATCATTTCTTTTGTAAACACATACCTTTATATAGCATCCGCAAGTCATTTAAGGATATATGTTACCCTATGTGACTGTTTATAAAACTACCAATTTCAAAAAGCTTTTCTCACATATTTTCTTATCTCTAACTACTAAATCTAATTGATCTGTAACGATAAATTCTTACACAATCTAAAAGTTTTAATTTAATTTTTTTTATCGCTGCATGCTATTTTAATTAAGAAATGAATTTAATTTTTGAAGATTCATGAATTTATGAACTACGACGCTTCACGCCGGCATATTTCATGAAGCGCGTTAGCGTTTCATGATAAATATGCCGGCGTGAAGCGTTGTCGTTCATATACCTCATGAATCTTCAAAAAATTAAATTAATTTCTTATATTTACATTATTTTTCTGATGACTTGCCATAATTTTACGCCTTTCAACTGTCATTTTTAAAACGAAAACAGTGTGCTCTTTTTTTGACTATTTGACGTCAAGAGCGGTATAATGACGTAACAATGGAGATATTTATGCTTATTCGTGATACATACCTAATGTAGGTCATGAGAAAAATTACTGCATTTTATTTTGTAAAAAATCATAGGGGAAATTTATTGGAAATGTAAATATTTGCTTGTCATTGCTCAAGTATATTTTGAAATAAATCTATCCGAATCAGCAAATACAATTTATCATTGAGACAAATAACAACTGACGTTTTTCATACTTATTGCTAGTCCATTATTTGTACACTGAATTAACTACGGATTTTTTTTCCCGTTATTTCATGATCATGACCAGGAGCACACAGCGGGTATTTCCAGTCAGCAGGGGATACTAACTCCTCCCTGGAAGCTGATTCCACCTTTGATGTTCCAGTGGTTTGTGTTGGCTATGCTCCTATTTTGTATTGTTTTATGGATTTTGATATTGAATACTGTTATCTCCATATCCTCCTTATTGTAATAATTATAGATAGCAAAAATTAAGCATTTTTTCACTCGTTTTACGAACCTGTTGTATATGTGTTACAATAGCAGATCAAAAGAAAATCGTATCCTTTCTAAGAAACTGTGATTTTTATTTTCCTTACATCAGCACTTAAAAGCGATTTTTCAAATAACAGCACCACATATAGCCAGCTTGAATAAAATTTGACGTCATTTTCATGCCTTCATCGTTGCCAGGAAACTGTTTTGTAATTGAGTTTGTTTACTATAACTATACAGATATTCAGAGGGGGATAACTATCGATATCTTTTAATGGGGTTCCCAAAGGGGTAATTTTAAATATAAAAGGGTGTGACTTGTCAGCAGAGGATGCTCACTCCTGTGTGGCGCCTGATCCCACCTCTGAAAAATCGAAGGTCCGTGTTTGCACTGCTCTTATTTTGTATTGTTTTATGGACTTTGAGATTGAATACTGTTCGTTATCTCCATATCCTTCATTTATTTAAGAAACATACTAATTATGGATGTTAAAAATATCATAAAACGATGATAAGGTATGATAAACAGCTAAATGGTAAAATTGACGAAATAATTTTGAAACAAATAGTAATTATTGCAAATAATTTCATTTATTATACCCGCACTTTCTAAAGAAAGTTCGGGTATATTGTTTTTACTCATGTCCGTCCATCCGTCCGTCCGTCTGTCCGTCCGTCCGTCTGTCACACTTTTCTTCCCTGAACTCCTCTTACATTTTACACAGAAGCTTAATCATTTTTTGGGAGATGGTTGGTGGTGTCATGTAGATGTGCAGTAAGGTTTCAGAATTTTGATTTTGCCCCGGGGGTTCAAATGGGGGTCGAAAAATGACTTTTTTGATGCAAAAAGCCCCATCTTCCCTGAACTTCTTCTATATTTTACTCAGCAGCCTAATCACCTTTTAGGGGATGATTGATGGTGTCATGTAGATGTGCAGTAAGGTTTCGGAATTTTGATTTTGCCCCGGGGGGTCAAATGGGGGGTCGAGAAATGACGCTTTTGATGCAAAAAGGTCCGTCTTCCCTGAAACTCCTTCTACATTTTACTCAGTAGCCTAATCATCGTTTGGGAGATGGTTGATGGTGACAGGTAGATGTGCAGTAAGGTTTCGGAATTTAGATTTTGCCCCGGGGGGTCAGATGGCGGTCAAAAAATTACTTTTTTTATGCAAAAAGCCCCGTCTTCCCTGAACTCCTCTTACATTTTACTCAGCAGCCTAATCACCTTTTGGGAGATGGTTGTTGGTGTCATGTAGATGTGCATTAAGGTTTCGGAATTTTGATTTTGCCCCAGGGGGTCAAATAGGGGTCAAAATATGACGTTTTTATGCAAAAAGCCCCGACTTCCCTGAACTTCTCCTACATTTTACACAGTAGCCTAATCATCTTTTGGGAGATGGTTGGTGGTGTCATGTAGATGTGCAGTAAGGTTTTGTAATTTTGATTTTTCCCCGGGTCACAAAGGGGTGGAAAAATGACGTTTTTTGTGCAAAAAGTCCTGTCTTTCCTGAAGTCCTCCTTAATGTTACTCAGAAGCCTAATCATCTTTTAGGAGAGTTAAATATTTTGAAAATTATGTAAAACATCAACGTTAAAGGGTAAAAAAGCATCGCATGCTGGGAAACACCTTGAATTTTTATGAGTAATTAATATACATGTCAAATGTGAGAGTCATATCTCATCTCAATCAAAAGTTATAAGCAAATGCAACATTTTTGAAAAGTTGGTTAGGCTTCAAGGTCAAGGTCACAGAGTAAAAGTCATGATACACTATGAAAGGTCTTATCACAGGTAATAATATACATGCATTATAATATGAATGCCCTAACTTTTCTCTTTCAAAATGATGAATTTATAACAATTTAATTTTTTTGCAAGTAGTTCAAACTTCTAGGTCATATGTAAAAAAAAAAAAATCCATGCCATTCTCACAGGTAAATACTAGTACATAAGTTAAATATGAATGCCTTGTCTCTTCTCATTCAGTAGATATGACCATGATGACCAAGGTTAATTTTATTCAGACAGAAGGACAGTCTGACATACAAATGTACATATATTTCTATATGAATTGCATGGGTAAAATTGGCCCAGTGGTTCTAGAGAAGTTAAAAATGTAAAAAGTTTTCAAACAAACAGATGGACGACATGTCACGACAGATGGTAAATGATAAGGAAACCAGAAATGCTCAAATGAGTGTTTTAAAAGGGTTACAATATGGATGCAGTATTTGAAAAGCTGTTTTTTTCATGCAGAGATATGCATGACCAACATATTCATGTTTTATATTTTCTTTAGTAATTTGTTTGTTTGTTGTGAATACATCTCTCTCGGGAATTTTTCCCTCATATGGAGACACCACCAAATAATAATGAAGACAAGATGTGTTTGTGAAACACTGATGTCCCTGTATGGAAGCCTATGGCGAAGGTTGACGTTTCTTAAATATATGCCCCCCCCCACTTTTTTCCCAACATTACCTTTACTATAAGAAAATATAAGAAAATGTCCATTGAAAAGGTGGTTGCCCCCCCCCCCCCCCCCCACTTTTTACCACAGTATATGCATAGGAAGTAAATATGGGAAAAAATTTGGAAGTGAAAGTCATTTTGCCTTGAAAAAAAGGTGGCCACTACCACCCCCCCCCCCCCCCCCCCCCCCATTTCGTTTTTTTTCTGCTTGTTAATTTTTTTAGGAAAAAAAATACTCAGGTTGCCCCCCCCCCCATCCACTTTCAAAAACGATGCTACGTGCCTGAATTATATATAAAATTATTTTGACTTTTTCCTTGGAAAGCCGCTCGTAGGATTGTGTATTTAGAGGCAAACAACTTGGTGCGGGTATTACTGTCTCATGACAGCATTTAGTTTGACATGTTCTTGTTTAATAGTGTTAATATATAACAGTGTCTGTAATGTACATAGCTTTATACTACAATGGCGTCGGAAGCAAATTGAACCACTGGGCCAATTTCGACCAAACTTGGTACAAAGCATCCTTAGGAAGAGGGAAATTTAAATTGTGAAAATGAAGAGCCAAGTCTCCTCACAAGGGGAGATAATCAAGAAAAGACAAAAAAGGGTATGGTCATTAAAAATCTTCTTCTCAAGAACCACTAGGCCAGAAAAGATGAAACTTATGTGGAAGCATCCTGGGGTAGTGTTAATTTTAAATTGTTAAAATCATGACCCCAGGGGATGGGGCGGGGCCACAATGGGGATTCAAAGTTTTACATAGAAATATATAGGAAAAATCTATAAAAATCTTCTTCTCAAGAACCACTGGGCCAGAAAAGCTGAAACTTATGTGGAAGAATCCTTAGGTAGTGAAGATTCTAAATTGTATAAATCATGACCCCCGGGGGTTGGTTGGGGCCACCATGGGGAATCAAAGTTTTATATAGAAATCTATAGGAAAAATCTTTAAAAATCTTCTTTTCAAGAACCACTGGGCCAGAAAAGATGAAACTAATGTGGACGCATCCTGGGGTAGTGTAGATTTTAAATTGTTAAAATCATGACGCCGGGGGTAGAGCGGGGCCACAATGGGGAATCAAAGTTTTACAAAGTTGAATCAAAGCATCCTATGGTAGTGTAGATTTCAAATTGTTTAAATTATGATCAGTTGGGTAGGGTGGGGTCACAATATGTATTACAAGGGGGAAATCTGGGAATGTTTAAAGCTTCTTAGGTGAGCGAAGACGCCCATTGGCCTCTTGTTGTTTGTTATGCTTTAACCACAATTTTTGATAGTGTTCGAATGGGTCAAAGAGATCTTTAGGATTCATTCTCTAACGCACATTCTAACTGAACGAATAAAATTTTTGTAGATTGTAATAAATGGCAATTCCATATTTTAGGTAACTGAGAATGAGTCCGACACTTATTTTCTGTACCTCGCATTTTTGATTCGGTCTGCAGGTTTCCATATAATTTTTCAACATAAATCAGTGTTGTTTTTATATATGTATTTTCCTCGGCGGTGAATGAAGCATAATTGTGTTTAATTAACTGCCTGCCTGATTATTTTGAGCGAGAATAACCAAGAGTTATCTAAATGTCCAAAATAAATTAAGGTAGTTGAACTACATTAAGTGGGTCACTATTGTGTCTCAAACTTGCTTTATCTAAATACATGTACTCCTTGCTTATTACCTTAATACATGTATATTTCTTTTAGTAGAGCGTTGGATGATTGGGCCTACAAGTCAAAATACTTAGACGATCTCATTTTTTTTATCTCAGTAAGTTAAGTGAGTCTAAGATCAATGACTAGTCTAAATAAATCTATCAGGCATCCCTTTATATCAATTTAGCAATGACGAGGTAAGTGAGCCCCTTCTTTATTGAAAAAAGCAGCTTGCAATGATATTAAAAACCTTGGACTGTCATTATCGTGGGGAAGGTTCAAAGCATTTAAGCTGTTGATTTTTGATAAAATCTAAAATTTCTTTTTCAAAAGGTTTCTTTTAATTTCATAGTATTCACAACTGATTTAAAGCAATTCTTGAATATATTGTTTCACAGTACTCTTGAAGTTTCTCCTTTATTACTGTGATTATCTCAGTGAGGATTAAAGAAAAAGGCTTGGATGGACATTTACTGGAACCCTAAATGTATCTTTGTTTGTTAAGATTTCTATGAAGTTTTTGAATCCACTATATAGATATAGTACTTCAAATACAATTCGGTTGTTTAGTAGATCAAAATATTCAAAACTGAAATATAATTTTATGCCCCGTCATAAATATTGCAGGGACATATATCCTGTGCTTCTGTCTTACCGTCACACTTTGCATTTACTTTAGTTCAAAGCTCAGTTTCAAGAAACTACTGTAAACCAATTATTCTTCGCGCCATCTTTTATTCGCACCTTGTTAGTTTGAAATCAATCTGCTACCATTCATTTTCGCGACTGTGGAGGCATTATCTACATGTACCAATACAATGACAATTAGATTTTGTGACCTCTCCTTTGATCTTGACCTCACTTTTCTTAAATTAGTTTTTAGCTCAGTTTTAAACATACCATTCATGATTGTGTTTTCAATCGTCACATGCTGAAACATACTGATGAGAGTTATTCAACTGCAGTACCATTTTGACCTTGACGATTTCTTTGACTTTGACCTCACCTGTCTTAAATAGGTGTTAAGCTCAGTTTTAAGGTCAGACGATATGTTCTTTAAATACATGTTATGTATATGTTCATGACGATTGAAAAAATTACAAAATATTTATTACTTTTTGGTTTCTAAAACGGTTTCTAATTGTTTTTAAAAATTTGAAACACTAAAATTGTGATTTTGCCAAACTAAGTTTTTTTCCCCTAAAAGGATTACATAAGAAATACCTTCCTCTTATATCTTGCACAAGTGCTTGGTAAGGTACCTCAATTTTTTGTGAGTAAACATGTTTAAGAAGAAATTTTTCAATGGCAATATCTTGAAAAAAGTTATATATTATTAAAAAATGTCTCGTCTGTCCTTATGAAAATTCATAATATAGTATGCTGATACATACTGAAGAGAAGGATATGGCCATAACAAACAGTATTTAATATCAAGAGAACTATTCAAATGTATCACCATTTTTAGCCTTGAATTTCCTTTTGAACATGACAACTCTTTTCTTGAATTAGTATTTAGCTCACTTTTTAAATAAGAAACCAACCAAGATATTTTTATCAACTTCATATTCTAATACATACTGATGAGTGCTTTTCCACATCATCAACATTTTTGATCTTGGCATTTCTTTTGACCTTGATCTGACTTGAAAGAAATAAGTGTCAAGCTTCATATGCTTATACATGCTGATTCAAGCTATTCAACTATATCAATATTCAAGGTGCAAATTTTCATATTACATTCATGCCCCATGGACTTGTTTCTATTTGTTTGTTATCCTTAGAGAAGGAATTAAATGATAAGTTGGATTATACCAATTATGGATTATGAAAAAAAATACAACAATTCGACTTTTGCACCGTGTGTTAAGCAATGGCTACTTCTTTCCTAGAGTGCTCTTAACACACATATCGATCATACAAATATACATTCTCTGAATTACTTTTTTATAAACTTAACTACATTTGCTATATTCTCAAGGAGTTGTTTATTTACCTTCAAAAACTATCAAATTCGAAAAAATCCCAATCTAACCTCGCAACAAAATTAATTTTCAAGTCCATATTCACATACCTGCTACAGATATTACCCAGGGATTGTTATTGAGTCCTTCATATGTACAATAATCTCGGAGAAAACCATCACCTCCGTAATTCCCTGTAGACCAAACATATATCGTACCTTGTCCTCCTCTGCCCTTGAAATGAAAATGTAGACCGTTTAAATGTTCTATTAAGCAAATGTTGAACTATATTTGTAAAGTTGTATTATTTTTTTTCTACTAATCGAATAAAAGTTTCCTGAATAAAATATGAAATGAACCAAGTCTTTGTTTGCTTCTTCTCACAATGCCTGGACATGTATTCGTTTTCATGTGTATTCAGTACTAATCATAAAACATTTATACTATTACAATTAGATGTCAATTTCTCCTGCAATACAGTAAGTCAACACACTGCAATTCACTATACAGACCAGACTACAAGACCTAGCACAAGCGTATAGCACACAGGGCCAAGTCAATTCGTACTTTCCACACTTATACCACTCAACACTTCCCCCTTTTGAAAAAGAGGTAGACACTCCATACCTTAATACAACATAATTTATGTAAATCCCGTTACAGTGTTATTATTCCTGAATTTGGATACTACAACAGGACAAAAAATGTTATGCAAATTACAAAAGTATTTTGTATTAATAGGGCATGATGAAAGATTTTGCAATACGGTTAAGGTGAACAATGGAAATATCAATTTTTTGAGATCAAAATTTTTTCATAATAAGGATGGGGATTATTGTTTTGTACATTACGAGATAAAATCGAATTTTAGTGACAGCATGCTGTATTATTTGCTGGTCAACAGCATGAAAAATAGAAATACGTGTGATTTAATTATTTCAAATACTTTATCAGGATCGCAGCACTTTTTAGTTATCATTATACTTCTAGAATTGATTTGTTAAAGCTTGTTATACGTAGGCATTGTTCTATACACATTTCAGAAAGAATCAGTACTTTTTCATCAGTGAAAAAAAATATCTATGCAACTGCGGTAGAGGTCATCAACTCCCGATTTTCATGACAAAAAGTACACAACGCAGCATAAATCTCTGTTATGGCTTATTGCTGAGTTCTGTCAAGTGTTTTGATATCATCAGAGTCATGTGCAAAAGTGAGTATTTTGGTTTGTTCTTACACAGTACTTGCAGCCACATGGAAGACATGTTAAGTCAATATCCACCATCATCTCAGCACTGGGCTTGCTGCTTTCGAAACGGTGAAGTAGGTCATCACTCCTGTGCTTCTTTACAGTTCTCTGCATATCAGTCTTATTGTACTGTTTTAAAAATTCATGCCATCTATTTAACTGACCTTGTGTTTTTTTATTGAGGAGTCAGGTTAGGCTACTGAATAAGCCCTAACCACAAATTTCCTGTTCAACAAATAAGGATTGAATATTTTGGTGAAACGTACATTTGCAAGTACATGTAACTCCTATCTTGTTGCACAATAACGCGGTTGTTAGACTGAAATTGCCATAAGCAATCTTGAACTCGCTCCTTAACCTCTTGCTCCTGTATGCGTTCTGCCCCATTGCGTTCTATCACGTTCTGACCTATTTGGAAAACTAATGTAAAAAGTTAATATTTTGCACTTGTTCACACTACAAATTTGTTTAGTTCATTGGGACCTTGCTTTCGTACTTCCCCTTTATATGCGGTCAGCTATCATCTGACCCTCACCTTGTAGGACTCTGAGATTTTAATAGCTTGGGTGTTTGTTTCTTTTATGTGGACTCTTTCTCTGTTTTGACATAAGTAGAAAGTAGAAATGCATTCGGTATTACTATATCATGTGTTCTATAATGTGCATCTTCCGGTGACTAGCCTCACCACATGTTTTGGTTTTTCAACAAAGTACACAAAAGAAACATCGTTCTGTCAGACTCCGTGATTTATGATAATAAGGTATTGAATAAATAAGAATAACAATGCAAATTGTCATGCAATTTTAAAAATTTACAGTAAATACACATGTGGAACTTTGACAGCTTCCCGTCAGAGGAAAAAAATATCAATGAAATTCAATTCACAATTTCTATTTCAGAATCGAATTTCAATTTCTTGTAACACCAGTGAAGTGTTGCATGAATAAACTGAAAACGCTAAGTTTGGTTTTAAATGTATTCAGTACTAATCATACAAAACGTACAATATTATAATTAAATGCACAATCTCTCTCACAACACGGAAACTCAACACCCTGCAAATCACTATACAGACACGAGAACACCTCCCACATGCTCATCACGCACGGTGTCATTTCAATTCGTATCTGTACACACTTATACCACACTTCAATGTCATGAATATAATGGAAAGGACACAGAAACTAATCTTTAATTTCTTTGTTCAATTAAAGTCAAATGAAACATTTATTTGATATGTAATTGGAGTGCATTGCAATGGATTACGATTATGTAGAATTTTCTTACTATGTTACCACTGAGAAATACATGTACCACGATATAAATATCTTATTTAAGAAATGTATTCTGCTTCTACCCGAAAGAAAACGTACATTATACTTCCCACATGCTTATTTTTCTGAAAATGTGATATCCAGTTGCAAGGAATAACAAGGACAAGAGATGTGTATATTAGTGTCCATCTCAGAGAAATCCTACCCCTAATAAATAAATGCAAAATAGGGTGTGGGGAATTCCATTGAAAATTTGTTTTTCGATCCTTATACATTAGCATAAAAAATTAAGATATTCTCTTAATTAGCTGCTTAATAAACTTAGTGAAAACTTTTTTAATATAATACCAAAAATGTTATCCATTTATATCCGGTAATATATTTGGTGGAAATTTGTTACTGAGAAGAAAGGCTTGCTGAATGTTCTAAATAACAATAAAACTTTACCAAACGTAAAAAATAAAGTAATATTCATGTCGAGATACTAGAAATAATGGGTACACTAAAAATTACCTTTTAGTATAATTTGACTATAGCTTAACTATAATATGCATAAATATAAAATTACATACACGTGACGTTCCAACTTGAAGAGCTTGTTCAACTTCTTTATGTAAATGGTGAATTGACATGCCATTACCATAGTTTGTGTAACTGTTAGAAAAAATATGGATACTATCCAAACGATGTGTTAAAGCATCCTTCATTATTTGAGGTGTCAGATGGTTGTTAAGTAATCTTATATCTGAAAAAAAAATCCACAATAATCTGATTTGTCCTGCTTAAAGTTTTTATTATTAGACAGATAATATATTGCATATTTAAACATAAAAGTATAAGAAATGTGAAATATAATACATAGTTTTCCTTTAATTTAATCTTTAAAAAAGTAACTCAAATGTTTAGCGTTTCTTCAGCAAATGTTATTTTTTGTTTTAAAAAAGATTAAACTGTTTCGTCCTCAGTGGATGACTGTTTGTTACAATAAGGTTTTTTTTTTTCACTATTTTCCTTTTTAAGGTTGTCCGTTGAAAACGGAAGACCTTTTATTGATTCTGTTGGTAAAGACTTTTATGTCGGCCCGAACAAAGTCGTGGGCGACATATTGCGATTGTATGCATGTTTTTGTTCTCCAGGCTGTTTCTCGGAGACCGCTTGCACAATCTTCCTTAACATTTCCTCAAAGGACGATCACTGGTTTTTAGATGTGTTGTGTGGTCATTCCGTTTTTAAATGGGTACTGTTGCCATGGAAACCTGCAAAAAGCGACGATTGTCCACTCTGGTCCCTAGGACATTCATCATGAAACTTTCTTGATTTAATTAGCATCTGTAATTGTGCGTGTTGTATTAAAAAATTGAAAAATGTCAATAGATGCCATTGAAGCAGGGGAAATGTGAATATTCCTTAACTTTGATTTTTAAATCAAAGTACCAAAAGAACTGATACAAGTTGATGGTTGTCCAAGCTTAGCTGCTAATAGGTTTTGTTTTAGTGATGAAAAAATTGAAATTCTTGTCCAGTTCGAGGCGACATACATAGCAATAGAAGACTTTTTTAGTTCTCCTTAATTTTCTTCCTAGACGCCAACTTTGAAGCCTCAGATCTCACTCATTTCTTAATAGATTTCGCTCAAATTTTCAGATTTTATATAAAATTACTACATTCTATCAGAACATTGTATAATATTTGAAATGTTTACTCCCATTTTTGAATTTTTTCCCTTTAAACGAAAATTATAGTCTTTTATTTCCAGACAAAAGCTCAAAGACTGCTAAAGCTTGGGCAGAAATTCTGCTGAATAAAGATTATAGGATGATTGAAATTGTGCACATCGGTTTTTGTTTTTCGATTTCTCTATTCAAAATTGGGTTATATAGGGGTAAAAAATTAGAACGCCTCAAAGAGGGAAAATTCACACACACAGTCAACATTCTATATCTCGAATTTGATGGAACTTAAAAATACTTCAAGATATCCGATGATACGATATATTGAATGTAAAATATTTTAAGAATATGTGGCTGGGACTTCCACATCACTTCGACATATCCATAGAATTTTAGATATATGAGTTCGAGATACCGAAGTTCAACTGTATTTTGCTTTTTTTTTCTTAACTGAAAATATTTTGTTAAAACGTATAGAACAAAGTTTGTGGAAAATTACGGAATATTTCTAATGATATATCGGGAAAACTGCTGACCCCTTGATAAAGGCATCTAGAGGGGTCGAAAGTTTTTTTTTTCCTAATATCTCAAAAAGTTTTGAGAATTTGTTATACATCAAAGAAGCTAAGTAGTTTAAAATCTATGGTAGAATGTTTTGATTTCATCAAAATAAGTCTTGTGACATCACTTCCGGTTAAATCGGAACTAGTCAGAAAATGCATATCTTTTGCCGTTCTTGACACGTTATTGGGAATTACCCCAACATAAAAAAACTATATTTAACTATAGTTTACTTGTTGTTGCTTTTAAGTGTTTTTTCCGTTAACCTATGGGCTGAGCTAGTTTTGTGTCGTGTGATTGAGAAAACTATGTGATTAATCTATATGTTTTTTTGTTTTAAATAAAGCCAATTAATTCTTATCTTTTTGTAATATGTAAAGTAGTTTTTAGATGTAGCCATTTGTAATTTTAATCAGTTAGACTTTAATCAATTGTGTTTTTAATAATTTATACAAGAGGTGAGCAAAAATAAGCTTCGAATAGCCAGAAAAGTCTTGTAGCAGTATCAGGCAAATTTATGGATATATTAATATTATTATAAATCTTTGAATGGATTATAGATCGAGATGAATACTTGCCCGGTTTTTTTCGTCGCAATCAAAGAAAGTCGTTACGAGATGCGAATTTAAAAAGTAGTTTTTTCATAATCATTTTTTGAATATCATCTTTGACATTAGTACGTACTTAATAGTTAGTTAAAAAATAATATCTATTTATGCTTAGCATATGATTTATTTTGATATTAATGAATACAAACTGTTGATATTTAAATTTTAAAATTTAATGCACAGGTTCAGAATTGGCGGCTGACTCCGTAAACTTCGTTGGGCAAGTCAGACATCATATATATTACGTAATAAGGCATCGTAAAGTGCAAGATTGCTAAAAGTCTGGCACTTTATATCTTAACAAGGGGAAATATTTTCATTAACGGTATTAAACAAAAGATGGTAAGAATACTCTTCTGAACAATATACAACCTTTCAGCTTTTGCCAAACATTCCCATTTTGGATTTAAATGGTTGGCCTGAAATATTTCGTTTCGTCCTTTCTTGAAACAAAGAAAAACATTGGAATAGTTATTGAAATTTTTAGGGCATTATAGAACAAAAGATGTTAACAATTAAGGTAGAAAAAATCAACAAAATGAAAGCTTAGCATGGAAATCCTTAAACCAATATCTTTTAACGAAAATATTTCAAAATAAGGTATTATCTCGTCACAAAATCGGGCGGAAGTCTTATTCGTTGATAGCAACAAGATAAATCTCATGAAGTTGAGATCTTCTGTCCCCCAGGGTTTTTTTTTTTCGTTCCAAATTTGTGCATACAAGATTTTAAAAAGGTCACTTCCAGTTCAGATATTTTTGCAGATAAGTATATTTTAAGAGTATTAAATTGTCCGACAGTTTTCTTGAAATCAGCTAAAGATATAACCTACAGTTTTCAGCGATGCTAGAGCAATTTAGGTAGATATTACAGAAGTTGATCATTTTGTAGAAATCACTGCACGCCGACGCTCGCTACATCTGATGAAAGTTGTTAATTTAAGAGGATGATGTGACATAACTGCTACTTGGGATCCCCTTCTCAACGACGAATTATATTTAATCTACGACTCTTGTTTGTAGTATTCAAGCATGAGTGAATATATACGACGCCTTAAGAATAGTTTCAATAGTTCAGACACATTTTAGTCATAAGAAATACTGCAGTAGCTTTGATTTTTTAGACCCTATTACAGACAAATTCTGCCAGGTTTGAGAGAATATGTTCTATTATGGCAAAAAGGGCGGGGTTTGGTACAATAGAGGAATATGCAGTCCGAGTAGACCTTATATTGCTATTGTTATTATTTAGCACATAGTCATTGTCCAATCCGATGACAGAGCAACAAAACATGCTGGTTTACTACGTTTATATTTCATCAGACACGTGTTTTAGGTCAATTTACCTGTTATTTTTTTTTTTTACATTTGAAACTTTTATAATGTTCAACCGATGCTACAGACCCTTAAACGTTCTACTTTCCCATTTTTCCATTCGCTCACCGTTCGTTCAGTGTTCGTTCAGCGTTCGTTCACCGTTCGTTCAGCGTGCGTTCACCGTTCGCTCTCCGTTCACAGTTTTGTGTTCACCGTTTACCGTGCGCTCGCGTTCACCGTTCACAAAACGTTCACCGTTCGCTCTTCGTTCCGTTTAGTTTGTGTTCACCTTGCGTTCACCGTTCACTTATCGTTCAGTCTTCATTGTCATTCGGAACTCCGAAGTGAAAGGACTTATCTTTTTGATGGTAAGGATTTACACGTTTTTTTAATTAAATAACTAAGATATCGTGTTTGAAGAATAATTATTTTAATGCAAAAAGTATCTACGATATATATATATATTTCTATTATTATAACTTAGCTGTTACTTTATCCATAAAATTTCCCTGGAAAAAATACATTAAGAACATACATGTAAGTAGAACGATGCAAAAATATTAAATTTAAATAAGGGCAATGTACCTGTACAAATACTTAAAGCGCAGCATTTTGTTGTAATGTAAAAGACGACAAATCGTTAATAGATGGATAATAATCCAAGTCTTTTACAAGACAAGAATACACAAAAAAATATTTCTAACAAGTCTTTAAAGAAAAAATGCACGAAAACATGTTAGAACTACATATATGTCTGAGAATTATGAATAGTACTACAGATATTCAGTTAATTAAATATTTGTAGAGCGAATTAAATTGATAGTGTAATTTTAAATTTTAGAAAAGACAAACTGTTTAAAATGTAATACTATAGAAGTTTTGTTCTACATCACGTATATAAAGTGTATTATTAGAAAGGAAAAAACCTTCCTTCACCGAACTAAATATACGTTTGCCATTCAGTATGATTAACAGCCCCCCCCCCCCCCCCCCCCGGCACCTTTTCTCCCGAAATCAAATTCTTAGTTAGTATTTTCAGTATAAATTAATTAATATCCAATGTGTATTATACATGTATCACAGAAAAAATTATTCTTTAAACAAACATCAAAACAGTCATTATATACATACATGTGCCGACAGTGGTATTTTGATTTGGCAAGGATTATGTTTTAAATTAAATTTCAATTTAATCCTTCCAGGTATATACATGTATTGCCATTATTTATTCATTTTTTCCGTAGAAAAGCGAAAATCAATTTTAAAAATGATGTAAACAAAATGTTAAAACTTCTCTGAAATACGAAGTGACTCTTTGACTTCGGCATGTTCGGTGAAGCGAGATTTAAACACCTCTATTGTGTCGAATTATTTTGATTGACAGGACAAGCACGTGCACTTGGAGTGAATCGTTTGAACTTGATGAAGGAAAATAAAAGCCGATGCTTACTGTCAAATGGATTTGTTAATCAAAAAAAATTGATTACTTTGACTGCGTGGAACATTAGAAAAAAATTATATGAATTTTTATTCGATGCAACAAATATCAGAGAATCGAAAGGGCTTACACCTCTCTCTTTCTCTCTCTCTCTCTCTCTCTCTATCTCTCTCTCTCTCTCTCTCTCTCTCTCTCTCTCTCTCTCTCTCTCTCTCTCTCTCAAGTTTCTATTGCTTTTACATTTGTCATGTTAAATAAAAACTATGACAACATATTTATTATTTATTTAGTTCTGAAATTCTTATCTATTACAAATAATTTGAATGCCTCTTTCCATTATCTTGTCCGAGTATCATCATGGTCGGGAAATGTCTTCAGATATACATTTACATGTAAAACTTAGCTTAAAAAATAATCAAACAAAATAAAAGTAACTAATAAATATATAATATTATTGCATAAAAATTTTAAATACGAGTGAATGGTGCAATATGTCAATAGACCTTTGTAAATTAATAAAAAAAATCGTTATTTTACACGGAATCGCCGTGACATCGAAATATATATTATTTAGTTTTAATGTAATAAATTCATTCTGTAAGTATAGTAGTTTTCTCTTCTGAAGTCCACATTATTTTAATACTAAGTAGTTAAAAGAATAAGCAGATTTATTTTATTAGTAAGAATCATTTTTATCTTTTATACTACACGTGTTCGGTAACAAACACACATGTTTTACGGCAATAAAAATCGTGTTATTAAAATATTGATTTAAAATATCATATGTATGTGCAGAAAAAATGTTTTAATTATTTATTCACTTATTTATTTATTGTTTATTTATATTTTAGCATCTAACATTAAAATATAACAGAATAATTTAAATGCAAGGAAAAAATCTGAGGCAGTCCGAATAAATCGTTCATCTTGCGTTCACCGTTCGTTCACCGTTCACCGTTTGCGCTCCGTTCGCGTTCTGCGTTCACTCACCGTTCTCCGTTCACACATCGTTCACCAAGTTGCGTTCAGCGTTCACACATCGTTCACTCACCGTTCGCTCTGCGTTCTTTCACCGTTCGTTCACCGTTCGCTCACCGTTCAGGTGGGAAAGTAGAACGTTTCAGGGACTGTATTTAAAAATACTAATATGCATAAATTTGCAGCATTTACGGTTTGTAAGACAAGAAATGCATATAAAACTTGTATTCCCTGCGTGTAGACCTAACAAACTGCTCACCAAACACGCTACAAAACTTTTAACTTATCGTATCTGTGATAAGTTACATCAAACATTTAAGCAGAATTTAGACATTAGATTTTTTGTCAATTTACCGGGGGCCGCAAGTCATCCTTTCTAACACCTTTTCTAAAATATATTTTTTTTCATTGGAATATATTTTTTATGATATATAGAATAAAACGAGTGTATATTTACAAGGTTTTCAAATGATATCTATTAAAGGGGTTGGTCCCTAAAAAGGGGAACAGATTATCTTTCCTGATATCTCAAAAAGCATGGAGAATTAGTATTACATCAAAGAAGCCGTTTTTTTTCCTAAATTACAAGAAACAGACTGTCAAAGAGATTGTCAAATTGTCTTGAATGACATTACCTCCGGCAAAAAGGTAATAGTCATAAATTTCTTTTTACTACAATGTTGACATTGAATTTTTAACTCTGTGGACGTACAATCGTATCCATGTCCATGAAGATAACGAACTGATTTTAAGATTTAAAGTCCAAAAACAAGACAAAACAGGAACAAAGCAAATACGAACCTCAAAAACATAGGTTTATTTTATGCAATGGAGGACTGATCATCCCCTGTGGGCTAGTCACAACTGCAGAATGCTCCTTGTTCTGATCAGTAAAAAATGCAAAATAACGAACTTAACATTAGTTTAACTAGAAAGTCTGCTATTGCAAGCAATAGCGTATTTGAAAATCAAAGTTAAAGAATTTTCACTTTCCCGTAGTTTCCATGACATTAATCGATTATTTGAAATTTTTAAATGCGATTCTTACTACTGCTATTAATAAACAATAAAATAAAAATAAGTTTCATGACGAATGTTCAAAGGACAAGAGAGAAAACTCGCGGACAAGATTTGTAGCTTTTTTCATGTTTCCATGGTAACGGTAGCCATTTTGAAACTGAATGACTCCACAGCACAACTGCAACCAGTGATCGAAATTGGCGGGAAGTTTCAAGAATATTGTCCCGCAATCTCCGAAAAACAGACTGGAGAATACAAAACATGCGTACAATCGCAATATGTTGTCCCCGATTTCGTTCTGGGCGACATGATAAACATCGGTCATTATTTGATTCAATAATGATTTGTATTTGCTGACAAGTCATTGTATCAATCATAGAAGTTACGAAATGATGATTTATAAGGAGACTGTTGATATTCTTTTTAATCAACTAGTTCGACAACAAATTATCTCGTTTTAGAATTTTTTCATACGTTATAGCATGTTCTTGCGTATCGAATCAACTGAGAAATATATACCCCGTATGCAGGTAATGCAAATGAATTGCTGCATAAATTCGTGAAATTGACGACTGAAAATTTGGCGTAATTTCAATCAGATAATTTATCAAAATAAGGATTAAATAATTTGTATTTATCAAAACGGTTTTTTATTATATAGTGACAACGTCTTTATGTTGTTAAATATGCACATGTGAAATTGATGCAGCAATATTAACGGGTGTTTCCTCCAAAAAGACTAAAGCTGATCCCTTGGTTATTATCCTTCGTAGTAGTGATAAGAACCATACCTGCAATGATTGCTTCAAATGCTACTCCTATTCCAAAAATGTCATTTTTTCTGGCAGCAATTACACCAGCAACGTTCGTTCCGTGGCTATAAAAAGAGAAAAAAAAAGTATGTGAGGATATTAATGTATCCGATTCTCCGAGTATAGTCTCCATGTCTAAAATATAAATGGAAATATAATGTCAAGAAATGTATACGTGAAAAGAAAATATTGTCGGAATCTTCAACACCATGCTGTAAACTGCTCACGGGGAAAAGGTAACGTAATAATTCTATGACGTGATAATTAAGTGTATATTACGTCACAGTTCAGTAAAGAGTCAAGCTGCCGAAATTTAGATCTAAAAAGTCCGAATTATATTTTTGTCTTATATCTAATAACAATACATGTACATTAAAAATTCCTTCCAAGTGCTATATTGAGCACTGATACATTGTGCATGAGACAATTCTAAGTTAATTTTGGCATTAATCATCACAATAACACCATTATTACTGCTGTTTTCGATACAAAGTTACATAACATTTACATTCCTCAAATAAATAATATGGTTTTCATAATCAAAAGATTTTTTTAAAATCATTTAATTTTATCTTATCTCATTAATATTTTAAGGTCTTTCATCTTTAGCAAAAGACCTCTTTGATAATCTTATGTTTCCTTTTCACCTTTTTCACGATTTCTAGAGTCGCACGCGACGTCTAGAGAATTATCTAAAAAAAAATTTATGAAACTTTCAGGATTTGTGTATCAGTACTTCATCCTTATGCGCTTTTTTATAACGTCACTTCCATTCTGAAATATTGTCGATATTTTGATTTTTCAAGAGATTGGTTATCGGATATTTTTTCATGAGTGGCTAAATAGAAACAAGAAAAGCTCAGGTATGATAATGCTATGTCTGTAGATATAAGTTTCGCATTTCAATTTTAAAAAAAATCCACACATTGGAGCTCCCCATGCTCCTAAAAAAGCATATTGAATCTTTATTTTAAATCAACATTTTTTTTCGATATATTTTTCCTGTAAATAATTTGCAAAAAACACAAAGAACTTTTTTCCTGCAAAATGGTTTTATTTTTCATCCAATATCTTGAAAAAGGAGATAGCTATTAAAAGTATTTGTTTTTGGCTTTTTTCCCCACAAAATTCTGAAGTGTTTGCAAAATACTTTTACTTAAAAATGTCCTAAGCCAAACCATGAGTGCATTTTACAAACACGTTTGTCGCATATTAAATTTAGGATTGTACTTACTACAGACTTCGACCCCAGCAACGCTTTGATTATGCTTCATAATCTTAAATATAGTATAGAAATAAAGATAAGATTTCAAACTTTTCTAAAAAAGAAAAAACAAATACTGAATGCAATCAATTGTGAAGCAAAGAAGTTTGAGACTGACACCACAAACCCAAGTCTGATGTAAATCTAGGTCATACAAAAATCTTATGTGAAACGTATTTTGAAAATATTTTCTAGCATATTTCGTTTAGTTTTTCGACAATACCTGTGACAAACATTGAGGTAAGTTGCGTTTAAATGTCCAGTTTAACTTGAAATGTTAGATTTTGCATTAATATTTTTACTATGGAAACGGTTTTGAAATATTTAGGAGAGGATAAAGCTATCCTAAAGTCCCGAAAGAGTATGCACTTATTTTTGATTCATCAACTTGTTTGTCAATAATTTACCTCGTTTCAGAAATTTTTCATACGGAGAGCATGCTCTTGCGTATCGAATCAAATGAGATATATCAACTCCAGGTGATGAAGAAATCTTATTAGATATTGCTGCATAAGTAAGAGAAGTTGATGAAAGTAAAGTTAAAGTCCTCACGTTTATCATATAACTTGGTTGTAAGGATACCATTAGCGTCTTTTTCAAGTAAAATATCTATATATGAAACAGATGTGTCAGACTCTGTGGTATCTTTTATCTCAAGCTCTCCTTGATATATCGTAAAGACGTAGCAATGGAAATTATCATTGTTAATTGACAACACGTCGTCGATATATCTGAAGGTCGAGTTGAAGGCCACAGCAAATGTTTTTTTTTTCTTTTTACCCATATGATTTTGCATATATTCTTCTTCATATGAATACAAAAAATAACTATACTTAGTTGCTTAACACCGTTCTTATAAAAAATTATTTTGACATTTTAATTTAAAGGGTATACAGGATAAAAAAGTAGCAAATAATTTTTTTTTCTGTTCACTTAATTTATCTAATTAATGCGCTTTATCAGAATATGGAGAAACATTAAAGCACCAAAGATTTAGACATTCACAACGTTGAATACTGCAGTATCCTCCACTCAAACAAATTAACACAAGACAATCGTTCCCCAAAGATTTCAAAAGTTTAAAGAAAAAAACTTTACTCAATATTTCCATGCATTGATTAGGTCGTTTTCTACTTCCGCTAGATTCTGCTGTTGGAAAAGCTGTCTCACTCTCATGTCTATCTTGTCCCATACATGCTAGTTAAGGTTGATTTGTGGATGACAAGGGGGGTAACCGAAAATGTTTTTGCCTTGCCAATAATAGTTACATAACGTCTCCTTACATGTATTCCCCATTTTACCAGTTTCACATTGAGGGGAGGGCAGGTTCGGTTCCAGTTCCATTGATTTTTCCGGATAATATCTGAGATGTTTTGTGGTGTTTGTTATACTTCTAACAATTTCTCATGTTTGTAAAGAATTTGGGTATGCTTTAAGGCCTTTTTGGTGGTTTTAGTAAAGTGAAGACATACAGTAAAAGGAAACAAAACTTTCCTCAACTAATACCAGCTTGGGTCATTTTAACTTCATGCACTTACACATTGTTTTGATGACGAAAACTGCATTTTAATTAAGCTTTTTTTCTGTTTTTTCGTCCACAATTGAAGATGGAGAAAGATGGAAATAAAAAATATGGAAAATACACCCGAAATACATATGGAGCTTGAATTTCATGCTTTAAGAAGAAAACAGTCACGGTAGGGCTGTTACACATTCGATTACAATTTTTTGGCCTTGACCTGTTAGCATTGCAAATTAAACAAATTTTAAATCAACTAGTAAAATGATGTGAAGGTTTTAAATTTCTTAAAATGATAAAAGTTGGAACTTCAAAATTTTGACAAATATATCTTCTAATTCGGCATTTACGACCGTTAAAGCTGATTAAGGGTCGTAAACATCGGTTTTACGGGCTCCACTTACGCGTCGCTGGTAAAACTCGATTTCCGACTTTTAAAACAGCATTAACGGTCGCAAATGCTAAATTATAAGTGGAGCAGACACCTGTTTTTCTATATTTCTATTACAGCGAAAGTTATCTCCCTTGTTATTATTAATTACTTATTATATATATTGAAACTAAATACTTAATTAGTGTTGAATGTGGATTAAACTTGTCAATTAAAACCATTGTATGCTACTTTAGTTGGGTTACTAAAGATCAGTTGATTGAAAGCTTGATTAGTGTTTAAAATAATTTGTAAATAAATTAACACTTAGTATTTTAGATGGTACTTGAGATATAAAGGATTTTCCTGGCATTGTTACGAACAAAAAGGTTCTATAGGTTAAACTCGACAAATTTTGTTGGTACATGTAAGTGTGCGGACTTCCCTGCATATATTGTACTGTGATAAGTAGTAAGAGCAAGGACATCCCTGCCTATTGTTTGACAGATTGCATGGTCATCCATGCTCTGTAGATGGCATCTTATAGCAGCAAGTGTGCGGACATCCCTGCTTGTTGCTTCGCAGGGTCAGGTGTGTGGACATCCCTGCCTGCATCGTGTGGTAGAGCATTGGTGTGCAGACATCACTGCCAGTGTCTCTAGTGTAGAACCGTGTCTATAGTGTCAAGTGTGCGGTCATCCCTGCTTGTCTCTGCGCAAGGGCGAGTGTGCGGTCATACCTGCTTGTCTCTTCGGGGAAGTGCGCTGGTGTGTCGACTTCCCTGCCAGTGTCAATTGTTCATTACCAGTAAAGACCTTATTTAACGCAGTACCGAGTGATTAAGACTGTGCATTGTATATATTTGCAGCATCTCAAGGCTTTCCGTTTTTATCACTGGTACGAGCCTGCGGGGGTTCACAAGAAGTGGCCTCCCTTGCACGCTACAGAAGATGGATTTTCACTAAATAAAGCGGCCATTGGGAAATAACTCTTTGTTATTCGAGCCAACCGAAATCTATTTATATATACCCGGTGTATAAAATTTGTTTTAAAGGAAACATAAAATGAATAAGTTTTTGATTTTGATCATAAGAAACATGATAATATCAAGCTTATTTCTTGATATTACTAACAAAGTTAAATGAAGGTGCATGAAATTAAGAGGGAATAAGTATTAAGTATTATCTACAATTCAAACATCATACCTTTTGTCATATGTGGAGTCTTCAAAGGGACGAAACGTCAAATTCGGGTCCTACAATAACAACTAAATAGTTTATCCGAATGGAAATCGGAATGTTTCAAGAAATTTAAATTGACTCTTATCAAAAATGTTATTACCAGATTTAAATCTGGGTGATTAAACACACCGCCATCTACAACTCCTACTACAATCCCACTGCCTGTAACATAGTTCTTCCATGCAGGTAAAACGTTCATGTGTGTCTCGGATAGATTTGTTTTATGCTAAAAAAAAAAAACATTCATAAAAGGCCAAGAATCGTTTCATGGGAAAACACAAAATTGATGAAGCACAAACACTAAGTAACAAGATACTTACTAAATACCATTCAAACTCCCAGTCAGGATCCGAAATAGAAATATTACGGCAAAGGGAACTAGAAGATTTTTTCTTCTGAAAGAGATATATAATTTTTCACATTTATAAATACTGGACAATTCTTCATCCACGAAATCAAATTAACCCGTGTATTTTCATCAAACTACAAAAATCTGACTCCTCGAAAATATGTGATTTTTTTAGAAGTTTGCTTCATTATACAAATTGCTTTATGCATATACTTCGTTTTTAATGTCAGACATTTGTCAATACTCAAGAGCCATTCCCTCTAATGGCTTAAGATTTTCAGAATTTCTCCGAACTATCTATGATAGAAGTTTTTGATACCCTAAACTAATTTTGGGCAAAAATTGGTTGTTATGTGTTATACGGCAACATGTCTTAAAGTCTGAAAAAAGACATTTTCTAACATGTTTAGAGCCCGATAGTAAACATTTGCGGCGAAGCAAACAATTGACAATGATTGTTTCCTAAAATTGAAGACTTGATGTCTTAAATGCATGATAGACATGTTCGGTAAAACAACTTTTACAGACGTTACTCTTGTACCAAAGCATCAAAAAGTATAAACAAATATCCCTTGAATTTTATATTTTATTGAATTGACCAAGTTATAGAGAAAAGAACCTTGAAAAATATACCAAAATAAATTGTGACATTTAATTTTGGTATGCAATGGTTACCAAGGCTTTTATACTATAGAAACCTTTAAAATTTAGACTGTTTGATTAAATCTGATCCTATCTTAGTAGTATAACGGGTCTGGTTGGCCGGGTCAACTAAGTGCACTTTTGGGGCTAAGGGGGATAGCCGGGTCAAGGGGGGGATAGCCGGGTCCATTGAGTGCAGCCCCTGGGGGGATAGCCTGGTCAAGGGAGTGCAGATTAGGGGTCTGTGGGGGATAGCCGGGTCAATTCAGTACATGTATCCCTCTAAATATAGGGTGTGTTTACACTGTGTTTACATGATACACTACGCTGCTACTACGATTCATAACGCTGCTACTACGATTTTGGCAAGTAGTCAAGAATGTCATTGTAACGTCACGCATTCATTCACAGTCTAGACGGTCTAGCCAGCCAGCCTGTTCAAACTGGATTTCCTCAAAACAATAACAAATAACACACAAGACAGATGATAACAAGAACACAGATTTTATTCAGAATCAACCAAAGAGTGATCCTAAATTTCCAGCGCTGGTTTATTATACCATTGGCTTGTTTAGGGTCTTGTGCATAAATATGTTGGACTTACTTTTAATCATACTGTGTACGATTTTGTACACATTCTAGTCAGCGAGCTTACCTATGCATTGTGACATCATACACTTGTATAATTAAAGTTTCATTTTCACTTTTGTTTCTAAGAAGTGAACTTACATTTTTCAGAAAATGTAGGACTATCTTTTGTTTTTTCCTCTCTTTTTCTATGATGATTTTCCTGCTGTGAAGCTTTTCTTGTTTAAAGCTCAATTTCTCTATGACCACCGAAGTAAACATCCTGATGCATTCTTACCATGTG